GGACAGAGAGCGAGGGGTCGGCCCCGCCTCTCCGCTGCGGGACAGAGAGCGAGGGGTCGGCCCCGCCTTTCTACTCCACCTAACTAGACTGAAACAGCAGTACCTACAACTCAGTTATGTGGGTTAAGTGAGACTCTCCATATTTATTGACAGGTATGTGGATATTGCAGAACCCTCACTGCTTGGACATGGTGCGGGAGAGAGGGGCTCACCTGTTTCATCACCCTCTTCTTGACACCTTCCTTCCGGAGACTCTCTCCCACTGGCGCCTAGAATGACACAGCAGCGCTCAGAGCCGGGGCAGAGCAGCAAAGTCACAAAGAGGGCGCACAAAAGATGTTTCAATTTCAAAGTTTCAACTTGATGTCTTGGCATGAAGATCGTGTATAGTTATACCAACAGTCTTTGGTGTTACACCAGTATGATGACTGACGACATACCTGTTCACCACTGTGGTGATGTCATCTCACACCCCAGCTCCTGCGCGTCCTAAGATTACACAACCCAGTAGGCTCTTTTCTGGGCCATGCGGAGAAGCCTGTCTGGAGCAGAGCTTGGAAGCACCCTGATAAAAGGAGTCTGGAGTATAGATGCACATGTTGGGCTGATATGCTAACCAATGTGCATAAATCTATGCATTTTTCCTAATATCACAACGTCTTTCAGGAGGTCAACTTTACTGTGCCTAAAGCAATATTCATTTTTTTTAATAGCCTAAATGCATCTTAGTATTTATTAGAAGCCACAGAACAGCGTGCTCAGCTCAATTGTCATCTGTCATCTGTCCTCTGTGTAAAGGGAGCCTGTTGCTTTGTGTACTTCTGCAGGCACCCTGTCTGTTAGTCGAGCCCTCCTCACCCTGACAGGCGTACAGCTGTCTGCTCCATGGCCGTCACAGTCAACTGCAAGCAAGATGACAGGCCTGTTTCATCACAGCCCGGTACCCTCAGTGTCTGAACCGAAGCAAAGCAAACAGGCTCTGCACAACAGCGGCAGCCCCTGGCATAGATACACAGAGAATCAAATTTCAGGCCCCTCACCATGCAAGACACCTGCACCGTGACAGCCAGCACCTAGCACAGCCACAGAAGAGATCAAGAGAAAGGAAGCCTGTTGTCACTCCTGAAAGGCCCTTTGCCTTGAACAGCTATATGTGCCAGCTCGTTAAAGAACATGTTTGCTTTGCTACATTAAATGTACTACCTGCATGTGGCTGATTAGGCTTGATAACTCTGTCCTAAAACAAGCGTGAAGTGGGATGTTTGCCCATCTTAAAACCTGGTCTGCCTGTTTTCGAAAAACAATTAGAAGTCTGGCATAAGTAAGGAACACAAACTGTCAAGCTCAGTAGCAGCTCCTGAAATCATACCGTGACAAAAAGAGAAGCCTCCTGTTTCTAAACTAAGGGACACTCCTATTTCTGACTATGAACAGCATCTGGCATTGCAGACTTATTATCACAGACTTATTTCCAATAATGCTCCTTTTCTGCAATAACTTTACACACTAGGGTGGGCTACACAGCTCAGTGTGACCACTGCTGGTCCATGATGTCTTGGGGGGCAATGGAAGACCAGACGCACAGCTGCTCACTGACTCTCTGTCAGAACGTACTGACAACAGTGATCTATCACAGCACTGACAACAGTGATCTAGCGCAGCACAGAGTAATTATACTCCAGGAAACGCCAACTATTTTTATAGCACCATGTACTGGTAATTTGCAATTTTTGTATTTCTACATTCCTACAGCTGCTCCGGCACTGCAGTCTCTCCCTCTCAGAGGATTCAGCCCTGGCGTGTGAGGCTCTGTGGTTTCTGCACAGTGAAAGCCCAGCCAGATACAGGTGCCGGTCAGAGCTCTGCTCTCTAGGAGGGCCCCCGGCTGTGGGGAAACAGCCCCATCTGCCTCTCTGACAAGATCCCGGCTCCGTTCACACACCTCCCGCGGCTTATTGGGGGCAATTTCCTGCCGAGCCTGCAGCCCTGACTGATGGGCACTTCCTGTTGTGCCGCGTGTTGTGCATCCTGCCTGGGCTTATCATCGGGATCTATATTAAATGCCAGGCTCCAACGCTCTCTCTCCCCCTCCCTTTGTCTCTCTCCCTCCCGCTGTTTCTCCCAGTCTCCCTCTCTCCCACCTACTCCTTCCCTTCCTCTTGCTCCCTCTCAGCGAAGTTGTGTAATTAGTGCTACACTTCAGGAGTCCCCCGTGTGTGTGTAAAGTGCTTTGAGATTCTTTGAGTTGGGAGGCGCTATATCAATGCAAACCATTATTACTCCTTCTCGGTGTGGATAAATCTGGAGTCTGTTTCTCTTTATTTCTCTGATTTTCCTGCTACTGAGGAGACTGTGCACACTGTGGAGGGCGGAACGGTGGCACCGTGGCTAAGGATCTGCCCCTGTGGCTGGAAGGTTGCCAGTTCAAATCCCACGGCCGGCAGAGGAATCCTACTCTGTTGGGCCCCTGAGCAAGGCCCTTCATCTCAACTGCTGCAGAGGCCGTGTTTAAATGGCTGACCCTGCGCTCTGACCCCAAGCTTCTCTCCCTGTCTGTGTGTCTCATGGAGAGCAAGCTGGGGTATGTGAAAAGACAAATTCTTAATGCTAGAAATTGTGTATGGCCAAGAAAGTGATCTTATCTTATCACAAGGGCCCAAGGACTCTGCAGTCCCCAGTGTGTGCCGTGTCACTGCTCTACAGCTCAGTTACCAAACCTGCCAGATCTCAACAACCCTTGCAAAACCGTTTTTAAATAGTAAAACCAATTACAGGTCTGTAGAAGTACATCTAAAGGGGACCTATCTCTCGTCACATTTGAAAAACTGACTGCTTTCTCATTTCACGCACAGAAAGAAGAATGTCGTCAGGGCATGAGATTACAAACTGACTGAGATTAAAATGTTTAGACATGCACAGAAGCCTGAACACTGCACGGACGTCCTAAAGATTGCCAACTCTCGCAAATAACATTGTTTTCATAGTTTCCCACATTTCGCCAGAGATAAGCGCAGAACAGGAAGCTCTTAATGAATCTGGACTGACCCCTTCGGCCTGGGAGATAGAGCTGTGTGCTGTCAGAGCCCTGCATCTCTTCTCCGGCTCTTATCAGCAACAGCTGTCAGAGCCACAGGGATTATTAAAATAGCCCTGGGGCTCCAAGGTCTGCCTGCTCTCTGCAACTCACAAAGTACAGCAGGAGGCAGTCCGGTTCTGTGTCTTCTAGAGCAGAGCGGGTCTTAATTCTCAACTTAAACAGGGTGCTAAAGAGGTTAACCTGTTCACCCCAAAGCCTGGATCACGGAAAGTCAACTACAGTGAAAAGTAAACTGGTTCACAGACAAGACAGCTCCCAGCAATGTACTTTCCACAACAGCTGTCTGAATAGGCCAGCAGCCTACATATGCATCCTTTGCAGAGCTGCAGTATATGGTAACTCTTCAAGCAACTCAGCGAGTAAGCTGATCAGGGACACCAGAAGAGGCCGACTTTCATCTAACACTGCGATCCCCCACCTGTGACTTCTCCAACCCCCTCCATGACATGCTTTTGCTCCAACCAGTCCCTTAAGTGATTAGTTAAATGAGTAGACAGTGGTTTAGGAGCTGGCTGTACCAGTGCCCTGCAGTGGAGCGGGCTGGAGGGGGCACGCCCCCTGATCTGGGAAAGAACAGTAAAACACAAAGCGAAGGACACAAGAGGACATTCCCTGGGAGTGCCGCTCAGAACAGGAGGCACTTTCTACCCAAAAGGAACGAGCCAACAGCCACGGGTGGACGCCAATGCACTGGCTTCCTATAAGGAATGACGGGATGAGATTCCCGGATCAATAAGCTCCAAATCGAACGCCCCCCCCCTCCCCCCTCCCCAGTTGGCGATCTCGCTCACGTTCTCATTCCCGAAAAGAGGCAGAGTCCCCTCTCTCCCTCTCCGAGCTTCCCGGTCTCTCTCTCTCCGAAGGAGACCGATTCTGCAATTCCGCACTCACTGCCTGCAGATGCTGTGGCGATAGTGGTGGGGCGAGCAGGAAATGAATCCCCTTTCTAACTACACTGTACTTATCAGAAGAATGTGTTTTTTTTAGTTATCGCCCAACTAATGAAGTAATTTTGTGCAGTGAGAGGAGATCTTATCAGGAACCCCCCTCACTCCCTTTCCTGAGTTAGCCCTCCCCCAATCAGCCTGTTCAGGATTAATATTGCTCCACGTCTTGATGGGAACGCGGCTCCTATCTTTTTTCATTAAAGTCTGGGCAGAGAGAGAGAGAGCGACAGACACAGTCACCTCAGATAGCCTCGGTGTGCTTTCTGGGGAGCCCTGGCAGACAGCTTTCACTTGGGCACAGCTCCTAATGTTTCTGGGCATCACTACCTGTGACAGGTGGAAACACCCAGCACTGGAATAGAAGCAATATCCAGGAAATGATCACTGCCCCCCCGATGTTGTAAGAGAGTAAGAGAAGGAGTTTTAACTGAGCTAAACCCATCATTTGCTCTGAGTAGACTGTAGAACTTGAATGAATGAATCATGAATGCATGGGCTAACAAAACCCAACTCCTTTCACCTGAATCGTACAGGTATCAGTTCCTGTGCTCTTCTGTATCCGTAAGCCATTCACCAGGAACTCAGATACTACATAATACATTTCACTGTTAAAATCGAGTCCAGTATTCAAAAAGCACAGCACTTCAGACGGGACTCTGGCGCCATCTGTCCATTTCAGAGCGGTACTGCATGGAAACAAATCCCTTGCTAGGTACGATCACAAAATTACACGGCCGTTCTCGGAAGACAAAAAAATCCTTCACAGAAACTTTTCCGCTGTTTAATGATGATAAGGATATTTTTTTCCAAAATCAGTCCTACAACGAAACTGCATTCAGTAATCATCTGGAATTGATATCAGTAGTTCAGGCGGGTAGGTGCGTCAGCATGCGTAGGCTGCAAAGGAACAAGTAAAGGTTTTATTCCAGGCTGAAAAGAGAAAAAAGGTAACAACGTTTCGGCTGTGCAGCCTTCTTCGGTGTGACCTTGTCCACCAAGTGTCCACAAGTCAAGATCCCATCACTGGACAGAGTGCTTTAAGAACCACGATTCCAACTGGCATTCAAAAGATGTGCACAGGATGGGTCAGTTAGGTGAGAGTTGATAAAATTCAAGCGCCTTTTGTACCACGTGAAACACAGCAGCCACACTGAGCTCTTTCCTGCTGCCTGTGAAGACCCCCATCACCTACCCACCTGTCCGCCGACCGAACCTCGTACCGCTCTGCCTCCACACGCAGAAAACCCGTCTTGCTGCCCGCGATCGGCCCCCTCAGATTGCTGTCGGGTTTGGACAGATCGGCTGCACCGCAACAACACACTCACCTCGTCGTCCGAGTCGTCCCCGAACACCGAGGGGCGCTGCAGCATCGCCGATCTGGACGGAGCCTTCTTGGGCAGGATCAGGCCGTACCTGCGGGCAGGATCGAGTGGGTTTTACCCGCGGAGAGTCGTGCAAGGCGACAGCACGGCCCACATTAAACATCTTCATGTGAGGTTAATATATTCTAGAGTTCCTTCATTGCATCTAACACGCTCAGAAAGCCCTGATAGGTTAGTTACATTAGGTATGGATTCAAGCACATAACCTGAAGAGTTCGCTAGTACTGACGCTTCGCATGAAACCGATATTATTAAGAAGCTGAAAAATAAAGTTCAAGTGTTTGGATATAAGACCATACTAAATTCTGGGTGACAGCTCAAAACTCACATCAAAGTATTGGTTTTACTGCTCGGATTTAAACACCGCTCCGATTGCTACTCACTGTTTTGTAGGAGCCGCCATCTTCCTTCAGCGAAAATGACTAACCGTTCCAGCAGATTTAACACTTTTATAACCTTTGGCAAGAAAACAAAAATAGAAAGAAAAAATTTACGTGATAATTAAGGAGTGACGCAACCCATTTATATTTTAATGTGACATTAGCATGAAGGAATTTATAAATGAATCACAATGCCCCCCGGTCGCAAAAGCACCGAAAGTGCATCAGCGAATTATAAAATATTTTTAGCCCGGTGTTGACAAACGCAGCGAATCCCAGTACCGTAAGTTAAACGTTTTTTCAAATAAATTCAGGCACTTGCAGGAGATTTACTTCTATTTGTGGTGTGTTTGTGTTGATGACGGAATAGAAACTGTTGAGTTTATTGTTGAGTTTAAGCTACACACAGTGGTTTTCAGAAGTCCGGACAGGCTGGCGTTGCGGGAAGCGGGATCTGTAAATCCTCAGATTCAGATAGGTTTAGCTCAACGTCCCGGAGCCTGGCCCTCCTAACTGAATACTGGGATATGTGATTAGAAGAACACAATTTAAAGAAAGGAGTCTTATGTTAACTTTGTCTAGAGCCGCACTGTTTACGATACTGTGTGCAACTGTGGTCACCAGCCAGCGGCTATATCAACCTGCAACTCACAACTGGCAGCCCACTGAAGCTCAACAGGTGTGAGCCTGGCCAGTACCTGGATGGGAGACTCCTGGGAAAAACTAACGTTGCTGCTGGAATAGGTGTTAGTGGGGCCAGCAGGGGGCGCTCACCCTGCAGTTTGTGTGGGTCCTAATGCCCCAGTATAGCAACAGGGGACACAATACTGTAAAAAGGTGCTGTCCTTCAGATGAGATGTAAAAAGGTCCTGACTCTCTGTGGTCATTAAACATCCCAGGGCGTTTCTCAAAAAGAGTAGGGGTGTTACCCCAGTGTCCTGGCCAAATTTCCCCCTGGCCTTTACCAATCATGGCCTCCTAATAATCCCCATCTCTGAACTGGCTTCATCCTCCCCACTGAGAGCTGGTGTGTGGGGGGTGTACTGGAGCATCATCCAGGAGGGGGCTGCACACTGGTGGTGGGGGAGGGGATCCCCATTACCTGTAAAGCGCTTTGAGTGGAGTGTCCAGAAAAGTGCTATATAAGCACTTTTGGTAGGTAGGTCCCTTTTCAGGCCATCAAGGCCCATGGGGAATGGGGGGGCAAGGGCCACCATTTTTCTCAACCATCCGTCACTGGAGGTGGAGGTGATGTGGTCAGCATCACGCTCCAGCCTTCCTATCACCCCCAGAAGGATTAACCCCCAGTAGTCACTTGGAAAGCAGGCTGAGTGGACCTGGGAGTCATCTGGAAGGAATCAGAGCAAGCTCCATCGCTTGCCCCTACCTGGGATTGAACCCGGGACCTTCCGGACAGGAGCTAGACACCCTTGCCGTCTGAGCCACCATGGCTCGTTATTGCCACGATACAAAAACCTATTGCTGCTCTAGAATTAGTCTGGGGAAAAGCAAAAAAAAAACTAATTCCTGGGATCATGAGTGTACTACACTGAGAGGATAAATCTTTATCTGTTTAGTCTTGAGCAATGAAGACTGGGTGATCCCAATTAATCCCGAGATTAATCCCGAGAAATGGCCAGATGAGCTCCTTAAATAATTTAGTCCAACGAGTAAGACGCGCATGTGTTAATGTTCTTGTGTTCTCACGTCCGTGCTTGTATTTCCTCACGTTAGGGGCTACAGGATCTTACTGTGCATTATCCATATGCAGAGCATTTCAACATTTGCACAGACAGTTGGATTTGAGGCTGATCTTTCTGATAAACACACACTGCTCTTCTGCTGCTCCAGGCCCCTGTGTGTTAGAGGCTGCAGCTGTCAGACACCCCCTCCCCCCTCCAGGAGACAGCATGGACTGGAGCCTGAGGACCGGAGAGGTACTGGGGCAGCAGGACACAGGTGGGCAAAGAAGTGGGGCAGTACAGCTCTGAGGTCTTGGCAGAGGATCCAACATCCAACATAATGTTGTTACTGTTCTGCTGTCCTTTGTGCCCTCCAATATGAAATTGCCAAGTATCAATTCACATCGTAAGAGGGAGCAGAACTGTGCTTGTCTTCCACTAAAACGTGCACAATCAGACCTTCCTGCTGCTCCACTGTCGCAGACCTGTCTGCTGCTTCACTGTCACAGGCCTGTCTGCTGTTTCAGTGTCACAGACCTGCCTGCTGCTCCACTGTC